ACACACACACACACACACACACATATGTATGTGTACACTCCCACCCACACACACCCACACACACAGAGTCAATAATTCTGGCTCAGCTGCAATGATACAGGCAGTAGGGTGCTGCTGTGCAATACTGGTGACATATGGGAAGGCCACAGGTTCATATTCTGAATTGACTTGAACATGCAAGGAACACCCAGGACTTGTCTGTGATCCCGGCTGGCTAGAAGACTGGTAGGGATTGAGGAGTGGTGTGGCCCTGTCAGGGATGCCTGTCTTTTTCTTTCTCTCTCAGAAAATAAATAAACTTAAAAAAAAAAAAAAAAAAGAGAGAGAGCGAGAGAGAGTGAGTTATATAAAATAAATAAAATCAATCCCATTTTAAGTAGTACTACCAACTCACAAAGACTCAAATTATAAGTTGAATTTGGTAAATTAAAAATATAAGATTCTTAATTTTATAAAAAGTTCAACCTCAGGAATCATTTATTTTTAAAATAACTCAAGCATTTAGCACAGGATTTAATTTACATATACCTTTTTATTCTATACTCATCTAGTTTAGGAAAACAAAACAAAAGATTAATGCACATCTTCATGAAGCTATACAAAGAAAAAATTATTAATATCATTTCATAAAAGAAGGTTGCCAACATACATTATTCAGTATATAGTGCTGGTTCAAAGCATGTGAATAAAGGAACTATAGCTGAGCAGGTCGGTGGAGATCAAAGAACCTCCAAATACATTTCCCCCCTCTTTTCTCTTGAGATAAAGTTATATGTTTCACTAATTAAAATATCTCTGATAAATCTACATTTAAAGTTTTTCACTAAGTATATTAACTCAGTGGATATTCTTTACCCATTAGTTTACTTGTTCAACAACAGAAATTGAGTCCTACAATTTCCTTAACACTATGGTAGGTAGCAATTTGGATTTATGACTACAGATCAGTTCCTGCCTTCAAAGGGCTTATGCATTTAACTGCATTTTATCCAAGTGATAGTGACTGTCTAACTAGCTAAATTTTAGTTCATTGTTTATGAAAAGATTATGAATTGATTCTCAAAAATAAAATCTATACTAATTTAAAAAAACACTTTACTAGTCTTATCGCCTGTATGAAGTTTCCCCAGAACATAAGCAAAACCATTGTTTTGAAAAGTTATAAAGTTAGCATAATCTTTCAATAGCAGTTTTTACTATGAAAATTGACTAATCCTCCAACAAGGAAATCAAAGGTTACTATCTACTGTGATAAAATCAAGCACTTAGAAAAGATATTTTAGATCTCTCCTAAAATAAAGCAACATATATATAGTCTTAAACAATATTACAACTGAATAATCAAAGTAGCTCAGACTTTATTTTGGATTTCTGTTATCTATAAATTTTTTAATAAAAAAGGTCAGTATTTTGTGGATTTTGATTTTGCATTACCTTAATTTAACATTCTACTTATTTATTATATCATTTCTTCATCATATTTATACAATACCTCATATGCTCATATCTATGCATAGGTATTAACTATCATATCTAACTACTACATCTGCAGTTAGTAAAAATCCTCACTAGTTGAGACACATTGCTCAGTTTCTGCCAAAGCGAAAACCAATATGAATTAGCCATTCTAAAGTGCCAAGGAAAATCCTGAAGACATTTTCACTGTATTTTACACTGAAATATTTTCATCACTTATAAATTAAAATATTTAAATTTTCTTAAAAAGCATATTGAAACATCTTCACTGAATTTTTACATAGTGAAGCTTACCTAGTGGAGTAAATGAATATTATTTCCATTTACATATAAGGAAACCAAGGCACAGAGGTGTCCATTTTGTAAATTGCAAGGTCATCTCCTAAACAAGCAACTAATCCTATACCATCAACTTATATTGATATTTGCACCACTTCCAAGAGCCATAAAACAATTACTGCACCTTAACACTGCCTCTGCAATGCCTATGTACAATTGTGTTTCATCAAAGAGTTAACAAGCTTAAACAAGGAAAGATGGACTATTATAAAAAGAAAACACTTATTTTTGGTAGTGAATCATTTATTTTTAAACATCAGATGGAAAGTTTTTAACATAGTAAGGTAACCAACAGTTGTTTATGTTTTAAAAACTGTATTTTGCCCTTCAGATATATAATTCTTGTAGATATAAGTTAGAAAAATAAGAAAAAATTCTCTAAGGAGGAATTAAATGCATGATATTGCAAAAAAACTGATTAAAAACAAAATTCAAATATATAAGAGAATGATGATAGGGCAGTTAAAACCCCACCTTAAATTAAAATCCTTTCATTCAACAGAAGCCTATGATTAGTAGTCAAATATTGTGCTGCTAAGAAAATAAATGAAAACTTTTCTTACTCAAAACTTGAGAAATTTTCTATCAAATACTTTATCCAAATATTCTATAAAAATAAAAATACTCTTTCTAGCCCAAACTTAACACATAAGGATTTGTCCCTGGGAGTTGGAACCGAGACCACATTTGTAACTATTTCATAGGGCTATCAACAATTAGAAAAAATAGTTACCTGCCACATAAACTCAAATCAAAAACATTAGACAAACTGAATAACCACTAACTCGCATCAATTACTGAACAGAAATAAGACTTAGCTGATACGTGACTCTAACATCCAAGAAAAAAATTAAAATAGAATTCAAGGCACACCTTATAGAGAAAAGGACAGGATTTAGAATGTGTCGTATTCAAGTCCTAGCCTAGCTGAGGATTAACTAATTAACAGGTTACAGGGCGGATCGTGAACGTTCAGGTCGGATGTGCTTTCTTTCATCAGGATTCCAGTTCATCATCCGCAAGTGTAAGAAGGTGCCAGAGTACCGAAGCTAGGGGGCATGCTGTAGCAAGGGGAAAAGAAAAATGGGAAAGGTGCAATGGATGCTGCATAGTTGAATAATTATCCGGGTGCACAATGGGCGAGTCCCGCCGACATCACAGCAGCGTGAGCGGCTCCCTAAGTCTGCCGGAGACAGCCCCCCATTAACAGGCATCTCCAGAGACGCGGCCGCTTCGCCTCCTCTTATACGAAAAAAGGGATGCCTGCACTCGATTTACCGTTAAGCCTGGAGACTCAGACGCGCGGCGCAAACACGCAAACGCACAAGCTGTCTTAACAGAGCCTCCCGCACGCGGAGTGGGCAGCGGCTAGTCCGCCCCGAGGTTGCAGCCTCCGCCAGAGCGAGGGGGCACCGGGCGGGCCCTGGTGCGGGCGGGCAGCGGTGTCCTGGCGATCGCACCTCAGGTGAGACCCGCAGTCTCTCCGCCCAGGGCAGCCTCGGGGCGGCCACGGTAACCCAGATCCCCGCGCGCCCGCAGCGGTCCCCCTCGGCACCCAGCACGGCGGGCGGGTGGGCGGCGGGAGCTCGGGAACCCCGCGAATGGGGGCGGGGGCCGTCGCGGGGGAGGCGCGCCCATCCATCAGCGTAACGTCCTCCTCTTTGCTCGGGGGGGGGCCGCCGGTCCCCCTCAGCTCCCAGGATTCCACTTAGAGCCCCCAGGAGCACCAGACTCCGGGGTGGAGCCCGCTCCGGGCAGCGGCCGAGGCGCACCGCCACGGGGAACGCCGCCTGGCGTGCCCGCCGGTCGCCGGACCCACCGTGTGCTCGACGCGCGAGCGAACAACACCGCGAGCCGCCTCTGCCCCCCGCGCGCCCCCTCCCCGCGCGCGACGCTCCACAACCGGGCGCGGGGACCCACTCCAGAAGCAGGGGGGACCGCGGCACTCTGTCCGCCTAATCTCCCATCCTTCTCCCTCGGGAGCTATTCCTGGTCAGTCACAGGTCTTCGAATTTAAGGTTCTCACTTTCCTCTTCAGCCTGCAGTGCCTAGGTGCGGCGGAGGTGGGAAACTCAGCCTCCGCCCACTCGCCCATTAACGGGGGCGAAGCTCGCTCTTCCCCCCTTTCCTGAGGCTCTGTGGTATTACCCAATCCTCAGTTTGGGGGAGGGGGACGGAGAGAACGATGCTTGGCTGGGGATTGAGGGGCAGTGATAGCCAATTGAATGAACCATCCACTCGGGGGCGGGGGCAAAGAGCAGCCAGCCCCTGCCCCGCCCACTTGCTCTAAACTACATTTCCCATAGTGCCTATTCGAACTTCCCGTCGCGCTGGACGCCGGGAGTGTAGGACCTTGCAGCCTGGAGACTTAGTTCGGAGCTCCTAGTCTTTAACCAACTAGGTCCTGGAAGTTGTAAGCTATTATAACTCTTTCTGTTTCCTTAGATAAATGTTTCCAAATTCTAATCTATATTGTGGTTATTCTAATAATTAGTTTATTATTTCAAAAATGTTATAACTTATTTCTAACCCAAGAGGACAAGAATGTGTTTCAGGGCAATCTGTCAGGACCTTGGAGCCGCTTCTTCTTCCGCCCAGGCCTGGTCTCCGCAGAGGATTTGTTGCCGTAATGTCGGCTGCGATTGCAGCTCTGGCTGCTTCCTATGGCTCGGGATCAGGGTCCGAGTCGGATTCGGACAGTGAGGGTGGACGGTGTTCGCTGCCAGCCGCCGACTCTCTCATGCACTTGACTAAGTCGCCTTCAGCCAAGCCCTCTCTGGCAGTGGCTGTGGACTCGGCTCCGGAGGTGGCAGTTAAGGTAAGCGCTTGGACCACTGGTGTGGTGCAGAAATTGTTGGCTTCTGCTCCGAAACCACCCCTCCGCTAGTTAGGACCCACGTTAACTCGTTCTCAGTGCTAGGAGATAAATTGCTAACGCTTGGATCTCTTCTTTCTACAATGGGAGACTTGGTACTTTGGGACCGCCCTCCACTGCTCCCTTCCCTTGCCTCCCGCCCTCAGACAGAGCTTGGAAGAGGGCGTGAAATTAGAATTTAGGATTCGGAACGTGGCCTGGATAGAGCAAGTGTAATCTCAGAACATAAGTGAAACTGGGTTAGGACTTCCCAAACTAGAGTATGTTCCATCACGCAAAATAAGCACTGGGTCGACCGTCTTTGTTTTGTTTTTGAATTAATAACTTGATTCTGTTCCTGGCTCCACCACCTGTGTAAACTTGGACAGGTTATGTGACTTCCTGTCTCCTCCCTTGCAGATGGAGATAGGTTTGAAAGGAACTACCTGTATAAAAGGATTAGAGTGAAGATTGAGTGAAATTATGCAAATAAAGTTTATAGCACAGAGTCTGGTATCTAGTTGAGAGTGCAATAAATGAATGTTAGCTATTGGGGTTATATATTTTAATACAGTGAGGAAAAGGCCTTGGCTTTAAGAGACTTCATTATCCCATTGAAGGAAGGTAATAAGTAAAGTGAGAAATTGGGTTATATAACTAGTTTAACAGATTACTGAGCACATGTTATTTGCCAGAAACTCTTCTATGGGTTGAAGATAGGCCAACAAGGTGGACTTGTTTGCCATCATGATGCAGATATTCTAGTAGAAGAGGCAGACCAAATGAAGTGGTTACAGACTGGATTACGTACTGTGAAGGAAAAAAAATAGGGAATAAGGTAGGAATATAATTTCAATAGATTGCTCAAGGAAATCCTCTCTGAAAAGGTAGCTTTGAAAAATGAGAAGCCAGCCCTTTTTAAACTGTAGCAAGAGCTTCCAGGCAAAAGTGATGGGCAAACCTGAGAAGGGTGTGCCTGTACAGCAGATTCAAGGAAACCCAGCCTTGGCTGTATGTGCTAGTAAGACCCTGTGCTCCCCGGGCTGCGACCACATGGGAGGCCCACATTTCATTCCTAGCGCAGTGGAAAGGCTGGACATGGTGGTGTGACCTGTAATCTCAGTGAGTTCAGTAAGTTTGGACAGGAAGATCTGCAATTGGTGGCTGACTTGGGCCCTGTCTAAAAACAGGGCATCATAGCTTCAAAGAAAGGCTTCTATGTTTATAGCCTGGTAAGAGAATCCACCAACTGCAAGCACAGACCCTGTAGAATCAGATGTGAGTGACCAGAAGTTCAAGATTTAGAGAATGAAAGCAGTATACAAAAATTCCTTGGTAAGCTGTTCCCAAGTCTATTGTTATAACTGAAGACGTGTTTCCAAGGCTAGTGCTGTAACTAAAGATGCGTTTTACAGGTTTTCGGTGATCTGTTTATAAATCTTTTTATTAATGGACATCTAGCATGAAGGAATGATTAGAATCCTCCTATAATTATAATAATAAAGTAAAACTCCAAACTTTATGCCCCTCTAACAGTGTACTAAGTCTATCCTTTCCCAGCTTAGCTTTTTGGAGTTCTCTTCTTTTGTCTCAATTTATCCTCATCCCAAAGCAATCCTAGTCTTAGAAAACTACCCTTCTTGAATGAATTCTCTGGCCTTCTAGTTGTCAAGTTCTGCCTTTTGACTTGAATCTCTGCATCAAGACATTGTTAAGTAGTTCTTGAAGCTCTGTCTCCCTTTGCTTCTGCGGGGTATCCTCAGCCTTTTGGTCTTCTGTTCTTCTGCCCTCCCTTACACTGTTGTTTCTCTCTGCCCTTCGTCCTCTTTTGCACGCCACATACCCTCCCATACCTTCCACTGCAGTCTGTGCTTCCGACAACTCACAGTAAGGACGTTAGCACAGGCTCTGGAATTAAGACTCTGGGATTCACATCTGCCCTCAGCACTTACCCATGTGGCAACCTTGGAGAAGTTATGTAAGGATTCTATGCCTAATTTTTTCTTATCCGTAAGGTAGGCATAGCACTAAGTGCCTGTCTTACGGAATTATAAGAATTGTCGTGAGGCATGTGAAACACTCTTAACAGTATCAGGCACATTATAAACACCTATTAAAATTTCACTATCCTTATCATTTCTAGTTCCAACACCTTTTTCTCTTAAGACACAATAAGCATCTCTCCCAGGATGGCTCCTAAATACCTCTAATTTAGGGTGTTAAAAATTTTCTTTTGCCTCAGAATCCACCCTTCCTTTTTTCCCAATTTTCATTCATGACCTCACTAGTCCGAGCCAAGAAGAGATGTTTTTCCTTATTCCTCAGTCCCTGCAGCTACTCATTTAGCTACTCATTTCTGCTTCATATTTCTCTCAACGCCAATGTGGCCCAGCCTTTGTAACTTGCTTATTTTCCCCAGGAATTTTTCTTGACTTTTCTGTCTGTTGTCACTCAGTGATATTTGTCAAATCCCTCTTTCCTCTTCAGCAACCAGTTTAGTTCAGATTCTTATTTTTTCTCTTATGACAGTTGTAGCCAGCCTCCTTACTGATCTTTCTCCTTCCGTCTTCCTTGTCTCCCAATTCCGTACCTACTGTTTTCCTCAAGAGTGCCCCTAGGATGACCTTATTAAATTCAGTTTCATCATGTCACTTCCCTGCCTGAAGACACCATTCTAAGTTTTCTAAGTTCTTTATATAGCATGTGAGGCTTGCCTGTCTCCTGCACCGAACTCTTTTACTAAATCCCAAAAGTCAAATATTCTTTTTTGCGCTCAAGAGTTTGCCTATGGTCCTTGCTGCATGCCTTCCTCCCTGACCCCAAACTCTACTATTCATTGTTCATGTGTCCTTCAGTTTTAGAGTACACATTTTCTCCTGTGCCTGCCTTGCCCTCCCCCTTTTTGTGCTAGAGTGCTCGTACCTTCACTGGAGAGAAGGAGAGAGAGAGAAAGTACCTCATATGGAAAATGGTCATTCCTGCAATCCTTTCTCCATTTCTCCTCCTTTCAGGACTTTGGGCACCCATATTCACTCCCTATGTGTTTGTTAAGCCACCCACCTGGGACTTGAACAGCAGAGTTGGCCATGTGGAGTCCAGCTGCCTAAAGCACCACACCACCCACCCACTAGTCCTATTTTACATGTCAACTGTAACACTTGCCATGGTACCTGATTTGTTAACTTTTTGCTTTCCTCTGGATGCTAAGAGCCTGAGGCCTGGAGACTATTGTGTCCATTTTTATGACTCTGCCCACAGGATTAAGTTACATTTGATAAGAGAATGAAATGAAAGAGTAAAAGAAAAAGAAAGCCTCCTAAAACCATGTACAGAATTTTAGAGCTGGGTGGGCCACAGTAGGGGATGGGTAATAGGGAGTCTCTAGAACTCACTTAGTTCAATCACTAATAACTAAGGAAATCCAATAGGAGAGGTTACATAAGGTGCTGGAAGTCCATTAGAAGCCAGAGCTAGGGGCCAGTAAATGGCATGGTGGTTAAGGTGCTGGACTCTTACGTGGCCAACCACAGTTTGAGTCCTGGACCTGGCAGCTTGAAAATCACTCCGGGCGTGTGTACGCGTGTGGCATGGCCATTTCTCCTGGGGATGTTTCTTATTTTTCTTCTCTCAGTATCTCTCTGGTAAGCACACACGCCCTATGGCAAAACCTAAATTAAAAAAAAAAAAAAAGAAGCAGCAGCAGCAGCAGAGCTGGGCAACCCATCCGGTGAACTGGATCTATGATGAGAGATTAATGAGCATGGTTCACTACTGATTTGGGAACTAATAGTTGCTTTTATAAAGAAAAAGCTTATGTAATGCTTGTAAGTGATTGGTAAACTGGAAAATGACCTTGGGAGGAAGTATGGAGCATGCAATATGTTCATGTGTATTCGACCAGTAGTGTCATGACTAATTGGAAGGATTTCAGTAAAGAATAAATTTATGCAGTGTTTTAATTCATCTTTCTCTGGGCACGAAGGAGGTTGAGTATCTTTTCTTATATGTTATTGGTTACTTGATATTTGTAGATCTTTATAAATGGACTGTCCTTTAATTGTGTGTGTTGCCAAAGCTTTTCCAGTTTGTGCCTTTCTTTTCATTCTCTTTTCCCTGTCTTTTATAAATAGGATTGTTTATTTAGTCCAGTCTTACCAAATTTAGGGATTGTGGTTCCTGTTTCTTTTTTGAGAAATCTTTAACCCAAAGTAATGCAAATATTCTCTTGTATTATCTTTGAAAGTACTACATCTTTGTTTTTCACATTTGTCACTAATACACATGAAGCATTAGTCACATACTTTTGATTATGATGTGAACATTCTTACTATCTCTTCATTTCTTATAGTACAGTTCTTCACATTTTATTTGTCATTGTTGTGCAAGAATGATTTGGCTGTTCTCAGCCACTGTAATTTGATATACAATTTATAATTAATTTGCAAAGTTCTTCTCACCTCCAGGTGGGATTTTACTTGGGATTGCATTTAATCATAGATCACTTTGGAGACAGTATAACTATTCATTTAGGTCTACTTTAGGTTTTTGATTTCTTTCTAAGTTTATAGAAAGGGGAAAATGGAATTAAAATGCAAGTTTATTTTGGTGCAAAAAATATTCAAAATCCATGCATAGTTTTTTTTTCTTAATAAGCTTTTCTTTCTTTTCAATTTGCCGGAGGGCATTTGAGCTTGCAGGAAAAATGCAGAAAGGGAAGGCGAGAAAGCATCCCACACGGGTTGGCCGTGCTGCATTCCCTTCTCCGTCTCTCCCTCCTTTTAAGATTTTGGGCACTTGTGTGTGCACACATGCTTGGTGTGTTTTGTTTTGTTTCGTTTTGTTTTGTGTGTATTTTTTTGTGTGTTTTTTTTTAGAGGTTTTTGCTATAGGGCATGTGCATTCGCCAGAAAGACAGAGAGAAAGCAAGAAATCACCACCACCACCTGCGCTCACCAAACAGATAG